CTACAGGCATGCGCCAACACGCCCAGCTACAAAAGCACTTTTATGCATACTAAGACATAATAACTACCTTTAGGAAAATTTTTGGAGGAATGTTTGACTTCTGAGCAAGACTACCTGCTTTCTTCAGCAATACAGTTTATATGAATGACTGACAGACTCACCATTGGTAATCCAACTTGAGGATAGCAAACATTTGTTTGAATATGAACCATGTGAAACTCACTTTAAGGAAAATAGTTTATAGCGTTTTCTCATAAATTTAAGCTTTTAAATGACCTTTTGAAATTTGGAGAACTTCTACCTATATTATTAGCATAACAGTTTTCCAAGACTCAAGTATTTTTCTTATGAGATTTGTGGTGACTTTTCGATATCACAGGAATTATGTCAACATGCAGCAGACTTGTATTATTCAATGAGCCCATATTTTCCAAGTGACCAATGATGATATTAGAAAATCCATTCAAACTCCAAGTAACAGACCATGGAAAACTCACTGATGTGGCTTCAGATCCCATAGCACAACTAACCTTTAACAAACTCTTCTTGTCAAGTTCTGATACAAGACCAAAGGACATCTATAATAATCAGAATAGTCCCGACAACACTCTTGTTTCAACAATATCTCTCCCTGAAGCAGGATTTTCTTCACACACTTCTACCCAAACAATATATTGCAACAGGTACAGATATAGTAGGATGCAATGTTACTCCTCACCAGTATTTTTCATTTTGGCAATATTTTCATAAAGCACCTAATTTGTGTTTGCATGTGGTTGTTATTGTGTTCTTCACTGTTAGCTAAAAGGAGAATGTAGATTTTAAATATTTCTTCTTAGTTTTATTGTCTAATACAGTAAATATTGATAGGCATAATTTCAATAAACAAGTTCTGTTAATTCTTTCAACCTTCATTATTTATTGTGTGAGTGTGTGTGTGTGTGTGTGTGTGTGTGCATGATGTGTGTGGGGGGCAGTGTGCATGTGGTCAGAGGACAACTCTGTGGAGATGGTTCTTTGTCTTCTTCCACCTTTATACAGGCTCTGGGGATCAAACTGAGGTCTTCAGGCTTCAGGCACTTTCACCCCTTGAGCCATCTTGTCAGCCTCCACTAATTTTTAAGACTGTGAAGAAGTCTCCATGACAAGGAGTTTGAGAACAAGAGCTCAGAAAGTATGAGCTTTCAATGTGTTATAAACTTGTTTTGACTCTCCCTCAAGCAGTGTCTTTTGTGCCCATTGTGATGTGGAGAACATTTACATAAAGGTTGGAAGCAAGTACAATGCTATAATAGTTGTATAATATTTGGACAGAAACAGCTTAAAAAAACAAGCATTGCCAAATGCAGGGTTTTTTTTTTTTTTTTTTTTACAGGTCTTTCTCTAGTCATTTCTATTAGCTGCACCAAGCTACTGATGTTTATAACAAAACATTAAAGACTGGGAGGAAAGGAGAAAACAAATTACTCTGCAGAGAACCCAGCAACTCTGCTAAAATATTGTCAGTTATTTATTGACTGCCAGGAGAGGTTGCACACTATAATCCTTGACAAGTTCAGATTCAGAAAGACCAAAGAGAGGGGCAAACCTTGCATGTAAGGGTCTGTTCTCATGCACAGACATTTTAACATAGATTTAAAGCCAGAATGTATCTTCTAGAAAATGTCACTTTTGATATTGATACATATCCTAGGCAAAGAGGCGTTTGGTTGACTTAGTACAAGATATGTTAGAGGCTAATACTATATTTTAGACCATTTATAATCCCAGTGTGGAATGAACACAATGAGGTCAGCATCACTTCAGTTTAGAGTTAGCTACCACAATTGCATGATTTCATGACATATTTTTTATAATGAGAAGGGGTTTATTTTTGTTTTGTTAGGCAAGGTGACAGGCTGTAATATCACTGCAGCTCTCTCTTCTGCCCACTTCTCCTTTATGTGAACAGAGGATGCAGCCATTGATGCAGTCTCCTGTCCTGAAACCTTTTCTTTGGAAAACATACAGGGCCAAAACACAAATGCAAGACTAGATCTTCCTGAAGGCTACTCAAAAGAAAAGTAAGTAGTTAAAGTGGCTCACAGTGCTGCAAGTATGGTAAGCACAAGCATGGGGGTGGTGTGCAAACAAAGATGGCTGCACAAGAAACTCTGATGACCCTGGTTTCCTTTACAACACTACATTGACTGGTCAATGATAGGATTTCCAATCATACAATCAGGGGTCTAAATGAATGTGTGCTTGTAGCTGGGATGAATGCTGAACCAGAATCTTAATTTTCTAATTCATATTCACCAATTAAAAATAAACTGGATTTTTATGAGTAAATTTACATAAATCAGATGATAAAGCATCTACCACTAAAGGGTAGGAGTTCAGCTCCTAACATTTGCATATATTCTCCTAAAGAAAATATAGGCATTTTAGATTTTCACTGAAGAGTCTTGCTGCGCTGGAACTCTAATGGGCTTAGAACAGTAAATTTTGAAGAAACTGATTGCTACCCCTGTAGCTAGTAAATGTCTGCCTAGACCCAGTGGCATTTGAAAAAAGTGTTTTATCATAAAATTATCCCAGCAGAGTCCATTCTGCAAGATAACATCATCATCATCATCATCAGTACTCCATGCAGGACCCAACAGCTCTGGCACAATATTGCCAGTCATTTATCTGTTGTCAGCACAGGTTACACACTGTAATCCTTGACTGCCTCGGAATTAGAATGTCTTTGATGTCCCCACAAGAGTTTTTTTGCCCGAAGGCTTTACCAATGCTCGGCGGCTCAGTGTTTATTCCTCGTAATCTTCCTCTCATCTCCAGGCTAGCAGTGACAGATGGTTATGGGCACACAATAGTATTAAGAGTTTGATATTTTTTTTATGCTGTGCTCTCTGTACAACAAATAGCTATCAGACGCGGGCCAGAGAGCTGACATGGCTCGCTTAGGTAATGGCAAACAAACAGCTCGGGTTGATGCTTTCTGTCATTTCCCCTCCTAACCCTGCTTGTTTTCATTGTATACTCTCAAAGGTAAACTATATTAACCTTATAGACTGTTATTAAAAAGATATATCTATATGAGCATAAAGTGCTTTTCTTTTCTCTTTTTCTTACTCTTTTGATTATGAAAGTAATACTGCTGACATATTGAACAAATATCGAATGTCAACATAAATTTTTAGTGTGTGATAATATCCCCCTTCATATAGCTGTGTGTCAGGCGGGAACCCGCGGATGATGCATAGCAGTAAATAACCCAAACAAAATTAGTTCTCTTGTCAGCTTCTACCTTGTATGTCCCCAGGCATCAGTAAAATTGACTGCACGCTAGATTTTCAAAATTAGCCCTAATGTTAGCTATGTGTCTGGCAACCTCCAAGTTTCCAATGTTCTACTATATTACCCGTAAGGATGAATGTGTTACTTTTATATTTTGGCATTTACTCTTGCTGATGTGGCTTTTTTTCCCACTTCTCCAAATTAAAAATAATTTAGCTTTAACAATAAGACTGTGCACAAACATAATGCTGCATCTCTTTAAGCAACTAACTTTAGGCAATTAAATTAAATTAAAGCAAAAATATACAAAGGAAGAGAGGGAATTATTCAATTTAATATTGTTAATTTTATTAACATAGCTCTGTCTAATTTTGTGGAAAGTACTGAATAACACGGTTCTCAATCTTTCCTCTATATTGCTGTTTTACAACCATTCTCCAAATTATTTAATGTTTTAATGATAATCCAGAACAAACTTTTTAGAATTGATTTTCTTGCAATATTCGTTCAGAAGAAGTAAAGGTTAATGGAATAAAAGGGGTTTTGCGAAGGTAGTCAATGAGGATGTGCATCTTATCTTCCAATAGGCTCATTTCATCTAGATGCATTGCATTTCAAATCATATAATACTGAGCTCTGTTACATTCTGAGTAAAATACAATGCTGAAAGTGTGACAATGAATCAGCATATGGAAAACACATTCCTCACCAACTTTCTGTCCCTAAATTTCAGGTTCACGCATTTAGAATCAAAGACAAAATCCTTTTAGGTACCAGATGCTGCAGATAAACTAGGAGAGCTTGTGGAGTTTTAATGTGCTGGGAGGCAAATCCTGGGCAAAGGCGCTTTCCTGCCGGTATGTGTGCTTATTACTTCACCTGCAAACAGTTGCTTTCAATTGGACCTAATGATCAACCCAGCACTGCTGCAATAAAGAGGCCATAATCTGTGGGGGAAGCAACTCTAATCAGGCCACATGCAGATTAAACTAACTGGGAGGAATAAAAATTAGATTAAAATATTCATGCCTAATACCAGAAGATTATCAGGACATTTTACCTCTTTAAAGCCTAATTTATAGAAGCCAGGGCTAGGTTTATGAGTTTCTATTTGGTGGGATTATATGCTGCATTGATTTTCTTGTGCTAAGAAAAGATTCAGCTTGGCAGTTTTGCTTAGCATAATATAGAAGCATTTGGGAGAAGGGGTCAGTTTCACATGCACTGATACATTATGACAAGTAAAATAAAGGCTTCCAGTTGAAACTGATCAAAGTAGTAGTAAATAATGAAATTATTCTTGTTTTAATAGTGATACTGCTTTATCAATGCATTTATGTATCCACATAGTTTTGGATTAACAGTCTGTGAGTGAACACTGGCATCTTATTTTTCTACCTTGAAATTTCTTGGACAAGATTTGATTTTCAAGATGTGTCTGTCTCCTATTGTTAGTTAAACAAATCATTGCAAATAGACACCTGTAATTCATATTTAATGAAAAAACACAAAAATTAATGTAAAGATACTGAGCAGAGCCACCTTGGTGCTCTATCAGTATAGTGATAGTACTACATTAAATTAAAAATGCAACTTGTAAATGCAAATTCACATCAACTTTTCTAAAGCTATAAGGATAACAAATTAGCAAGTCAATCATTAGAATATATTTTCTATCAATTCTGTAAGTCTTGGTAAACCAACATGTCCTGACTTACCACCTATGAGGCCATATGATGTGCAAGGGTTTTTGCTGATCATCAACTCCACACAAAAGGTTGCAGGGATCAAAAGTTATATTTTCTTCATTCCCAAGATGAAAGCTTGAATTATTTGATGAGCTGGAATTTTTCAAGTCTGATTGCTGTCTTGATGAGTTGTTCAGGTTTTCTTGTGCAGTATCGAGACCAGAGTGTACATCATACTCAGATTTCAAATTTTCCAGTACATTCTCAGCATCTCTCCCCTCTGCTTGGGTAGGAAGCATTGGAGATAGAGAAGTACCGCCATAGCCATTGCCGCTGAGCATTTTCTTTAAATGGGCTATTTTGTGCTTGGGCATGAATCTGTTACAAAAAAGGAATGCAATATGCCTTTTATGGAAAAAAAAAAGTAAAACATGTCCCTTACCTTCCTATAAGGAAACAATGACGACATACAAAACTGAGAAAAAAAAAAAGATGTTACAACAAAATTTCTCATAAAAGTGCAACAAGTATTAGTCACTAAGAGAATGTTCAAAGGTTTGAACTTGGCCAAGACTGTCTCTGAATGGTCTGCAGAGTTCCTACGACTGAAATATCTGTGTGGTACATACCAGAGACCATAGGCTAGAGATGCACTTTACCACTCTCCCCTCACTCATCTTTCTGGATTTCCATTTGTGTTTTTCAGTCAGACATGTCCTAGAAAACTTTTTCCTCACCCTATAAAAATGTTGGAAACTTCCTCCGTTAACTCTTGCTATTTTTGCTCTTGTGACTATTTAGTATCCCTAGAGACCTGGATACACTTTCTATTAAACTGACCTTGCTAATGTTTCCTGAAGAATATTTTACCTCTTTCACTTTGATTTTTTTCTATTCCTATAATGCTTTGCCAGAGTCCAATAGCTACTCATTTGCAAAGAACCTAAATAAAATGAAATCTTTAAAAAATTCCAATATAACCTAAATTTAATGTAGCATCTATGCCATTACAAGATCTACCCTCCAGAAGCTATTTGCCTATGAGGAACAAACCAAGAGTTCTTAGCAGAGAGTGGGAGGAAGGTGTGTGAACAGCCAACTGGTCTATGTTGGAAAATGCTGTCACAATAGACACTACAGTTTTTGAAACCGAGGGGACTAAGAAGTAATCCTGACTTTCAGATCAGTAAAAGCTTAAAGAGGGCTTTACTGAAGCATTTCATAAGGCTGGCAAGTTCAGGATCAAGGGAACAGTGGAAAAGGATGTGAGGAGCAAGGAGCTATCTGGGAATGGGATGCAACCCAGGATCAGGGATGCTGGATGAAAGAGTTGACTGGGCCTGGTAACTGAGCTCTCTCATAATATTTAGAATTTATCCACAGACTAGGCCTTTTTCTGAATTGTGGGGTGCGTGAAAAAGTGGAGAATACATGCATTTAGAAGGCAAGTGGCAAAGAAAAACTCCCGGAAGAAAAATAACAAGGAACATTTAGAAGAGCAGAAAATGAAGTTCATAGAGAAATGACACACCATAGAAATAAGTCAACAGCCTCCACAGGATATGCCAAAAGATGCATAAAGCACACAGAGGCCATGAAGGACAGACGTTCTGTAGTTCTGCGGGTCCCAGTGACCAGTTGCTAATGCTTACAGGATCCCTGGGGAGTGGCACAAGCAGAATCCCTGCAGAAGATTAGGGTTTGTGAATGAAAGAGGGAAAGGTGGAGAAGGAAGGTGGGTGGGAAAGGAGGAGAAGGAAGGTGGGTGGGAAAGGCAGGAGGACTTGGCTATTCACCTGGGGATATTTGCTAAGTAAAGAAGCAGGATTCTGAAGACAAGAAAGTCTTGTGCAGACAGTGAAAATGTGATGAATGGCAGGATTTATTGCGGAGGGGGAGGGCAACTGTAAAATATAATAACTTTCTTGCAAAGCTGAAGGAAAGAGAAAGACGAAACAGGTATAAAACAACAAAAGTTTCAGAAACCAGGTATGGAATCTGAGGTGTTATTTTACTAGCAGTTCATTCAGGTGCCTTTTAAAGGGTGGAGATCAGAATAAAGAAGAGAGCTGAGGAATGAGGACAGTGTATAAATGCAGAGGGGAATTAACTGGGCTGGAGGCAGGGACGATGAGCAACACTAGGGAGCACATGGGAGTGCCTGTGAGCAGAAACAATCAGAAGCTGGGTTTGGGAGCTTCTATGTTTGTTTTCAGAAAGCCCAAACAGGTGGAGAAAAATCAGTGAGATACATACATACAACTTCTCTCCTCAGTGCTAAACAGATGACTGCACACAGAGAGAAACCTAAAGAATGGTACCAATCCTGTAAGCAGGCCGTAATAAAGTCATAAGTCAGTCTTGATTTAAAGAAGCCTGGGTGTTCATGCATCGTAATTCTTGACCTCACAGTTGCAATTTTTTTTTTTTTTTTTGGTCCTTTTGAGACAAAATTTTTAAGGAAACTAATTTTCTTCCTGTAACAAATTCAACAATACTGAGGGAACCTGGTGTAGGGCTAACAAAATTTCTTAGTGATCACTGTAATAATAATAATAATGATAAGAACCCCTCCCCATAAATCTTTAACTTCCCCAAACAAAAGGACAAGAGAAGGAACCTCTGTACACATCTAGAAAACATCAATAAAGCAAACCTGTTAGTTTATTCAGATAAAGAATGCCAGGCAAGCTTAAAAAGGATTTCAACAGAATTAAAAACTTTGTGCACAAAGGATTCAGAATTACAAAGAAATCAATGGGCATTGAAATAACGTTATCTTCATTTTCAAAAAGAGTATGTGACCCATCTTACTCATAAAAATACATTTATATTGGGCAGCATGTAAAGGAAAGTGCAAATTAAAGAGACAGGAGATTGGCTAAAGGCTTGTAAACAATGGAATTGGTAATGGAAAAGGAATATTGCTGTAGCTGGACTGGAACTCCCTACATAGATGAGGCTGGCCTCGAACTCACAGAGATCTGCCTGCCTCTTTTATTCCACACATTCCCCGAGCTTTCTCAAGGATGACTAGAATCCTGTATTAACAAGGGTTATAGCTGGCTGACTTGATAGGTGGTACTGAATAAGTACATAGGAAGATGGAGAAGTAAACAGGGCCAGTAACCCAGAGCTTACAAATGCCATGAAACTGAACATTTGAAATCAACTCTGAAAGCAGAGGACACAAGGAAAACGCCACTGGGAAAAGCCCTAGTTAGACAAGGTGAGCAATTGCTGACCTAATCCAGCAAATGATGTACTGGGTTCTGGATCCTATTGTAGAAGTGGGAAGAAGCTGGGTTTGTGAACAGAACATTGTGCAAATGTGGATTTCACTGGCCCCTGACAACGGTGTATGTCTGAAAATTAGAGAGTTCTTAGAAGAGCAATAATAATGATTAAGGCAATGGAAGAATTGATTTATGAAGACAGATTAAAGGAGCTAAATATGAATGGCCTGGTGAAGTGACAACTAGAGGGATACATAATAGGAGTCTCTAAGGAGAAAGGATAATTATTTAGCCTAGTACGAGGGGGTATAACTAGGACTAATGAGATGAAATTAAGAATGGGAAAATTTAAGCAGAATTTCAAGAAAAACTCTCTGACGGTATAATTTATTAGCTCATAGAATAAATTCCCTATGGAAATGCTATAGCAAGGGAAACTTAATAACATAACTGGACAAAATACCAATAAACAATATAGATAACAATCCAGTACTTAGAAGGTAGTTATGAGCGACGTTTTTTTTCTTATTTATACTATCTTTCCACATTTGTCTTAAATAGCCTATTTATTATAGCAATCATCACTCAAAGTAGCAGTTAGGCAATTAGCTGGGTTTAACAGGACACCTCCTTTAGTTGGGGTAAGTTCAAAACACTACTTTCATATACTCTGCAGCAATAATAAAAGCAAAAAATAAAATTAATCTTACTACTTTATTTCAATAGAGCTGGTTTTTAAACAGGCTGGACAAATGTATTAATAGTTCTAGAAACAAAACAATACTAATGTACCAATCCACACAGTGTATTCTGAATTCCTATGCCATGAAGCTCATATTTTCATAGGCATGTTTAATGTAAATAATTTATTGTCATAACAGAAGAAAAAAATATTTTAGCTTTTCTGAATGTAGCTCTGTGGTCCATTACTTCACAACAATACCAAGTTCAAACAGGCATAATGCTAGCAAGCAGTTTGCTGAATAATAGTCACTACTTTAATTAACCCATCCAGAACATTCTTAATCAGACACTATTTATAATGTACAGTTAAGAGAAGCCTAGCAATAAACTGTTCTATGCTCAAAAAGAAAATAATACCTTAGAGGCTAGGTGAGACTAGCTTTGCTTTGGAACTGGACAGAATGTCTGTGCTGTTCTGACACTATGCAAATAGGTGCTGGTCTCAACAGCTCCTTCTCATCCCCAGCACCAACTCTGGTGGGGGTGCTAATGAGAAGGGAAAAGGTAAGGAGCAGGGGCCAATTATATAGTCATACATAAAATAAGTGAGTTTCCTTCCACCTATAGTACAAAGGCCAGGAACTATTTCTTTCATGGAAGGAAAGAAGGAAGGGAGGGAAGGAGGGAGGAAGGAAGGAAGGAAGGAAGAAAGAAAGAAAGGAAGGAAGGAAGGAAGGAAGGAAGAAAGAAAGAAAGAAAGAAAGAAAGAAAGAAAGAAAGAAAGAAAGAAGAAAAACAGTGAGCTGCCCTGATGCCCACTTTTCTTAAGGAAATGTTTCTGCTCACCTTATTGTTAGAATGCTTCTCTCTGTTCCTGAATCTCTCAGAAGCACCATTAGAAGCTTTCAGGATTTTGATTACCATACTCATTTCCACACTTCCACTTTCCTATTAGTTAGAGGTTTTTTCCTCTCCAACATTTTTTTTTTTTGGTCAACAGTAAATACATGAAACAGAAAGAGGCTCTCTCTTGCAGTCTCTCCTTTTAAAATCTGCTGTGTCCCATCTCTAGCCCTCATTTTCTAGAAATATTGCCACCAAATCCCAGCACCGTGGTGGGCAATGTACACAACTTGGACAAGTGCTTTCTAGGTCTAAATTTACATCCCTCCTTCCTATCTTCTGCAATAAACCCAGAGCTGGACCTATGTGAATGGCCAAACGCCTCGAGTCAGCCAGAACAACAGATTTGAAATAACTTTAAATGATGGTAAGAAGGGAAGTGAGTAAAGAGAAATCTCCTAGGCATTTTAGCTTACTTCTACTAACACTGAGAGATATGTTAGCTCAGCAGAGATGTACTCAGAAAGGTGTACTTCAAAGCAAGAAATGAGTCAGACAGACACGTAAATGCATATGTTCCTGAAGAGAATGTTGTGGCTAAAATGTATTCATGAG